ACTTTACAAGATTCTCCGGTTGTTTCTTTGTGAACCTTGTGATGAGAGCTGGGTCTCTAACTACCACCCAAATAGCAGTTTTAGGTAGACAGGTCCACAGTGTTAAAGTCCGAAAGCGTCTATTTCTTACTATTTAGAGGGTTGCTATGAATTTTTCCCTCATGGTAAGATGATCATTGTATAATTCTAGAGGTCATTCATTTCAAACTACTTGTACTGTGGCCCATGTCACTCTTCATTGTGCATTGAAAAGGTGGCAATTTTTGGCTGCCAACGCAATCTTCACCCGTCACATGACCGATATGACTTTTTGTCAACTTGCAGTCTTGCTTTGTGTTTAAGTTAGTTGAATGGTTGCGATTTTTACATAGCACACAAGATCCAGTACACATAGCAGATGTATAAGTGAGAGTAATCAGAATGGGACTTTAAAGGAGATGTCTGAAGATGGCAGCACCACTGGAAGGAGCCAAGAAGTGAACAAGGAGGTGACCTTGAAGTAGATACTGGCCAAATGTAAATCGTGCATTCTTTTTTTCAATGGTCACTGAACTTTGTGATCGGACTTCATGCGTGCACTCACTGAAAAGACCACTAGAGGGTCCCTTATCCTCCCTTATATCTACTCTCGCAAAGAGAAAAGAGAACAATGTATTAGGTAGTGGTCTATGGTTACATTAGTTTTCATCAAAACATTTGGGGGGCAAATGGAAATTCAGGACTTTTAATCAGTGTGTATAAATACAGGAGGTACTGGCCAAAATAACATCACTACTGTTAGAGATCTATCAAGTTAAATACTTACACTATTAAAAACCTGTTAGGCAGACAGGGTCATAATGTTGTGCCTCATTGGCATACTGTATCATGGAGCCCACTTTTTTTAAGCAGCCATCTGTCTCAATTTTATGCGTCTCTAATTTTATTATCCCAATCAGAATATATTAATTTATATTTAATATTTGTGCTATGGTGTTATAATTTGAGACAAATCGGCAGTATACATTGTCATCTATAAGCTGCATTTGTAAGACAGAGATAGTATTCTGAGGACAGGTTTCTCACTATGTACTCTTGCGTCATTTCCTCTTCTTTGGATCAGATCCCAGTACAGCAGGGTTGGCAAAGGACTAAGATTAGACGGAACAAGGTCTGTTGTGTTGTTGGGTGGTTGTTTCATTCACTGTCTGTTTTGCTGAAGAGGTGTTTGGCAGCCGAGCCGTTATTTTACTCCCTCACAAACACAGTAAAAGAAATGAGGTCAGCCTACATGTTGTTAATGATGAAATTAGTTTAAATTTGTTGACGGCTTAAAGTGAAGCAATGAATCAAATATAATGAGAAGACTTCTTTTTTTAGTAATCTGTTAATTAGATTAATTTTTTTGCTATTTCCATTGGTGTTTTGTTACTGAGGGGTTTAGTTTTTAAACTTGTGCTACTTTTAATAAATTTCAAGGATTAAAAAGATATTTTTTTGCCATTAGTCACATTAGTAACATTTGCACAAAACAAACGCAGTGTGTTAGTTCAAACAATGTGTCCAATATTCTAATTCAACTGAGGCTGGAAGTGCAATTTAAGGTAAACATTACAGTAAAATATTAATATAGAGCACAACTAACCAATGTTTAGCAAATGCTGTTGTATTGTATTTACATCTTGATCGCGTGTGTGCGCACGTGTGTGTGTGTAAGTTACCCTAATTTCGTAAAAGAAAATCTTGAACAATAAATGAATATTTGCTGGTACATTTCGCCTTTATTTTACCTTTTGATAAATCCCCTTTTAAATGGTGAGTTCATACAGATTGTGTGCCTAGCTCATTGAATCGACACAAATGGCTTTTGCTTACTCTTAAAGCATCATGTGAGCTGTAAATCTCCACTCGTCCATAAAACTGACTGCACATTGGTGATATTACCATGTAAACACACAACACACCTTACCAGCCTTTTATTGTTAAGGGTTAGAAAAGGTAAAATGCGATTTGATAGATATTCATAACTGATAAATCATCAAATCTTTACTAGCAGCTTTGTTAATTATTGAGCTGGATGATGACCAGTATCACCTAGCTGGATGAAATATTGGATTTATATTGTTTATTGATTCAAAACTGAAGCAAAAGAAGCTGAAGTTGCTTTGCTTTTAGACTCTTATAGACTGCACACATTTTTCTTTTAACGATAAAAAACTTTACGCTATAGGTACATATTGTGGCCAGATGCAGCCAGAAACACATCTGTCTTCTGTTAACACCCCTACACTGATGACATTATATGGCTTTTTTCACTCAGCTGTCTACTCTTCTGGTGTCTGAGTCCTCCTCAGTGACACTGGTCATTATGGCTACAAAGCACAGCTGTGGTTGAGCTGGAGGAGGAATAAAGCCCCTCGCTCCCCAGCCTGGGGATTGTGATTGACAGTGTGGGGTTTATTTTCGAGAAAGTTATGTGACATGTTGCATCATGGGTTCTTAAATTGTACCAAGCAACGCAAGGACGAGGGCACCAAAGACCTGTTTAACACACTAACATGCATGTAACAGTAAACAACATATTCTGAATGCATGACAAAGGGGGTTTGTATACAAACTGTAGTTTATGCAGTAAAATTAACAGATTTTGTTATAATGTATGAGCCAAATAGCTTCACATGCCTTGCTTGTAAACATTGGTTCATGTGATTCCTGAATAATTATTTAATATAATTTTTGAGACAGTTCTTCATAAATTAATATCTCACATTTTATGCTAGTTAGATTTCATATTCAATCTGAAAAATCTTTTCATTTGCTTTGAAAATTTACAGTAATTCTATATACAGAAGTGGAGTGCCTTTTATTGTATTACAAGATTTGGATTTTTTTTTAAATGAAGCTGACTGTTGAAATGAATTGCAATGTGGCTCTTGACCTTTAAAAGGTGACTTTAAGGTCTTTTACACTACGGATTTATCATCTAGTTTGGTTGTTACACCAAAATGTTAGCAGTCTTTCGTTTGCTAAGCATAAGCCTCTGGGGATGAAAAATTAAGCCATCACACATATGTACTAACATGATTGGTTCCACAAATGGTCTTTAGTGGTCTCAAATGGCCACAAGAGACTAATTGGCATCCCTTTAGGTAGTTATTACACTTGGCTGTAGACACGAACAGCTGCAGACCCATACACGGGTAGTCTGGCCAGTTATATTTCTCTGACATCCGTTTGAAGTCTGCCTGTAGGGCTCATGTGTAGGTGCGGAGTAAAGTAAAGTCTCTCAAGGTAAGTCTGCGATAGGGATGCCATTTTACAGAAATTCTAAATTCAAAATATAATTATTAAAAGGTCTTATTAAGGCTACGTCTACACGTACACGGGTATTTTTGAAAACTGAGATTTTCTGTTTTCGTTTTAAAAAATAATCCCGTCCACACGTAAAGGCAGAAATGAAGGAAAACGCTGCTAGGAACATGCCAAAGCAGCAGGTGGCGCTATATTCCTATCCGTGTAGAAATGTTGGCCAATCAGAAGTCTAGAAGCCTCAGTGGGAAAAAGTAAACAAAGCTGGGGCATAGAAGCAGAACAGAGTCGTATGTGTGGAGGGACAGGAACTGTGTGTGTATATGTAAGCATTTAAATACTGCAGAGAGCAATTAACAGTAACAGTATTGTAGAAATTCATTTCACCGAAACAATAACATGGCGCACAGCGTGACGTCAAAAAATACGCACACCTATGCCGCTGCTTTTCTCCATTTTTCTTGTCCACACATAAATGCAAAAACAGAGTTTTCAAAAATATCCACCCTGGCCGGAGTTTTCAGTGACCAAAAACGCCGTTTACTTGTGGACGAAAGGTGCAAACGCATAGAAAAATCTGCGTTTTCAAAAATACCCGGGTACGTGTGGACGTAGCCTAAATCACTTACATAGCAGTGGAAGACTATTTGTTAATGTATATCTAAAGATATTTTGTTGAAAGACTGAAGTGGTTTCTTAATACTCTTCTATAATTTTCATGAGGTATAGTATATATAACATTATGCTAGCTTAAGCATTTTAAAAATGTTAGCTGTTATAAACATATTGGCCTTTGGAACATAGCTGATTGTATAACAGTAATGTCAGCTTTGTCAAAAGAAACAAAGTAAGATGATTTTTGACCCACCACGTCACGATGCCAGAGAGATTTGGCCTGTAGCACAGATGTGGTTGGGGTCCACTTCCTCCCCGTTGCTCGGGTGGGAGCAGTGCCTCTCACTATGGGGTCCCGGGAGTCTGTGAGTGCTAGTTGGCACGTATCACTAAGGTCTCTGTTATACCACCGTCCCAGGCTCTTTATGGGCTTCCCTAAGACTGTTGGAATTGGTTCTCCACCGATATAGAATTGCTCGGCTGTCAGTTTTCCTTTTATGATGCAGTTGCTGCGAGATTTACTTGGCTTAAACTCCATTCCTGCCCATTCTATGTTTTCCTGGAGCTTCTGTAGCAATGGCCTAGTACATGGTTTTGTTGTTGTAATGATGGTCATGTCATCCATGTAGGCTCCAATGGGAGGAAGACGAAGGCCACTCTTGAGTCTTTCACCTCCCACTACCCACCGAGATTCCTGCATGATCAACTCCATTGCCATGATAAATCCCAGAGGGGAAATCGTGCAGCCTACCATAACTCCAATTCCCAGGTGCTGCTAGGCTGTGGTGGTGTTCTCAGCTGTCACACAAAACTGTAAATCCTGAAAGTAGGTCTTGACCAGTCCTGTGATATGGTTTGGTACGCTGAAATAGTTGAAAGCCATCCACAAGATCTTGTGTGGAACTGACCCAAAGGTGTTGGCAAGTTCTTTGTTCTTTCTTGGCAGTTTGAATCTGGTGCCAGATGATGCTGGCATGTTCCAGATATCCCGAGAAGCCCCGGATGCCAGCCTTCTGCACTGATGTGTCAATATAGTTGTTTCTTTGTAGGAAAGTAGATAATCTTTGGGCCAAGACACTGAAGATCTTTCCCTCTAGGTTCTGCAGGCTGATCTGCAAAACTGGCTGATGGATGAGGAGTTCTTCTCCTTAGGGATCAGAATACCTCCTGCTTTTCGCCAAGCCTTTGGAATCACTCCTTTCTGCCACACTACCTTCACCAGTTTCCACAGGTATTTGAGAACTCGTATGGTGTTTTTATTTAGCCTATATGAGATGCCATTAGGTCCTGGGGCTGATGCTGCTCTTGCCTGCTTCACTACCTTCTCCACTTTACTCCATGTAGGCGGTCTTATGTCCATTTGGTGTTCAGGTGCCTGGATAGGCGGCATATCACTTGGAATGGTAACTGGCTCATGCCTCCGATCCTCAGAGTAAGTTTTCCTCAGATGATCTTCCAGGTCTTTTATGGGCATTTTGAGGCACCCGCTCTTCTCTTCGACAAAAAGGCCCTTAACAAAGTTGTATGGGTTGCTCTATAAAAGGGTCCTTGTC